TGGCCTCCCCGGCCCCGCGCAAGGATGAGCGCTCGCGGCTCTCCTCCGTCTGTCTTGCGGTGCCTTTTCTGCCTGGCTGCAGCCAGGCACCCTCCTCAAGCGGGGTCTGTGCTGCTCCTGACTCCCACAGGTCCCTTCCTAGTTTAGTCTTTCCACGATTCTGCGGGATTTGTAAATAACAGTAGTTACATTTGTAGCATAATTATACTTTTCATGCCCAGAGTACTTTCTGTCCAAAGGGTCTTGTACTTTTGTAGGTTACCAAGGTGGCATTTTTTCTCCTGCATTGAATTAATGCAGGCAATGAATTTTATAGATAAGAATATAATGGCAACACACAGTTTTAATTTTGCTGCTACAAGCCCTTCTCTCTTTAGGTCACATGTATGAGTACAACTTTATTTCCTGAAGGTGTGTAGGAGGGTGGGAGTCAATGGGAGAAAATGAGGCGTTTCTTACAGACTTGCACAGGGTACAGTCGCAGAGCTAGCGGCAGAGAAACTTACAGATTTTGAATTAGCCTCGGCCGTCTCTGAACCCCAGTGAACATACCCACACAGCCAGGCTGTGCTGGTTCTTCTGCTAGAGCAGAACTTTTCTCTTTGCCCGCTCGCAGATCAGAACCTGCATTTCAACTATGGCAGCCTTACCTACCCCAGGTGTGTGCACTTGGAAGCCCAAGGACTGAGCTCAAACATAGCCACAGGAAGAGTAGCCAGGCATTGTTCTCTGTACTCTTTTGAAGGTTATTTCTATTATAATTTACCTTTCCTGCTAAGTCTTTAACAACTCTTTTGGTCTGTTTTGGCCTGTACTAAGACTAAAGAGATTTAGGCAGATAGTTTAATGAGCCAAGAAATACACTTCCTGGTTAGCCACTTTTAAGAACTTCAGGTGAGGTTCTAATGAACTATTAAGGTTCAGCGAGGGTTTGCTCTGTTAACGTGTTTCCAAGAAAGCGGGATTCTATTTCCTCTTTCAGAGACAGAGTGTTTGAGACATCCAAGTTAAGGTTTCATTCAACCAGGTCTTTAAAAAAAAGGGGGGGGGGAGGCAAAAAGAGGCTATTGTGTTTCTTTTTAATTTCTACATTTTTAATTTTTATTCAGTCTTGCCAAGTAGTTCTGCACTTAAAATGGTAATGGATATCTCAGTAACTGAAATAAAACCTGCAGTTCTTAAATTAAGATCAAGGTATGTAAATATAATATAACTGACGCTATATTTTAAAAGGGATAATATGTGGAAAAGTACAAGTAGGTGTTACCTGATGATAAACATGTATCAACTAAGATTATGGCTACCTGAATTTGAACAGAACCGTAACATATATACCATCTCTGAAACACACTCATTGCACATTAGTTGTTGTAGGAAACAAAAGTTTGTTTATTAAATTCTAGAAATGTACTTCACATAAATTTCCTGTGAAGGTCTCAGACCCGACAAAGCAAAACTGACAACTGTCTACAAACATGACTTTTCAAATCACTTGCATTATTCTCTTAGTACTTTATCAGTAATATTCTTTCACAATAAACACAAGAGGAGCTGGTCTTTATCTTAATTATTTAGTGTTTTTTTCTTTGCTACATTTCCTCCCCAAATACAATAAGAGGTATGTTACAAGCTTTACCGTAACCCATCTTGACATTCTTAGAGACTTCCAACCCTTTAAATAAATTGTTAAATCGAAGAAAAGAAAAATACCTGTGAAAATAATACAAAACCTATATTGTGTAGCTAACTTGATCTCTGACTTTGATCTTTTAGAGTGGTTTTTGCTTTACACTCAATTATTTTTTGTCCTTTTCTTCCTCATCTTGCTTTCTTTTTCTGTTTTTTTTTCTGCTTCCTCCTCTTCAGTCTCTGTATTTCTTTCCTTACAGCTATTCCAGTAACGATTTTCTGTATTTCCATCCCACATCAATATTTCACGTTTTTATGTCATTGTTAAGGCAGAATTGCTTTCCTATATGTAGTCTTCACAAGATAACTGGGAAGAACAAGTGTATATCAGTATAGTTAAAAATGATTTAAGATTTTAGGAATCTACTAATCTTAAAAAACAGTTGCAAACCACTTATCTAGTGTTTGGGAGTGGTGGTGAAGAGGTTCATGTCTGTGTTATTTTATTTCACTTTGTCTTCAGACTCGAAGTCTTATTTTGACTAATTATACTTGGAAACATTTTTTGGGGGGGGGAATTAGCAAGTTGATACTTTTTCAGAGTGAAAATCCTAAAGTTTGCTCTGAGTGGGTCAAGCAGTCTATTTAAATACCTCACATCATCTGTATACAGTTCACTGACATTACTTCCTAAATGGTATTTTAACAGGAATTTTACTTAGTCTTTACTGATGTGTTAACAGTGCTCATTGGTTAAACTGCGCTGAAGTCTCGAGGGGAACTGATTGCTCTTAAGGTAGGCTTGTGGTGCAGCAGTTGCCAAAAGGCTGTATTTCAGTAAAGGTTTAAATCTGATTCCTTTGTACAATTTTTAGCTTATAAATACAAATTGTCTTCTACCAGCTGTCAGAAAGAGGTTAAAATTTTTCTTGCAACTTCTTAATGTAGCCATTCGTTCAGACACTAGGTGGCTCACATCAGATGTTGAAACCTTTTCCAGAACTTTTCAACTGTGGTCCCAAAGGAATGTGTGGTGCGGTGCTGGGTGCTGAAAGAGTCTGCGCTACTCTATGGTGTTTCTCCATTCTTTCAATAGCTTGTTGTTGTTGTTTTAACAAAATAAAAAGCATATTTTGCTCTTGAAATGCCTTTCCTGGTCAGAAAAGGAGAATTGTGGATTAGTTTAGACTGAATGTTGTCATTCCATAGTAAGAAGGAAGGTGAGGCTGAATCTTTTAATTTTTTTTCCAACAGCAAGAGTAGTTAGTTGATGAGCCTGTGGAAACCTTAGTATATGCAATGCCAATAAGGTATGTATTTTGCCTATAGACTGTAACAGACAAAACCTGGGTTCCAGAAGCTAACTAAAGAATATTTAATCAAAGTGCAGACATACAGACTTGGTGCACTATAAGCAACATAAAAGTAGTGTTGCTACTTTATAAGTACACTTATAAAGTTTGTAGCTCATATTGTAGTTTTTCTATATATCTGAATGCTGAAGTTGATAAGCATAATTTACTCATTGTCTTTACAAAGTGTAGAAACCAAAGGTTTGGATTTTCTTTTCTCATCTCTTTAGTAACAGTAGAGGCAATTTTTTTGTTGCCTAGGAGGAGTGTCAACAGGATTATGAAATGCGGTTCTGTACTTCGGTACTGCTTAAGACTAAAATTAGCTGGGAACTTCCACTGAGAAATACCCAACTGAAGAACTTCCTTAAATGCATCTGCAAGCAGACAGTCATTCTCTGAAGCAGGGACTTTAGCAGAAACAGCCTGCAAACTGGCTTTGGACCCAGTGCAACATTCCTTATTTCCATAAGCGATGTCAGTGATTTCTGGAGGCTCACTACCTCGGAAAAGGTTACCCTGCATGAAAAGGGAGCAGCGCATGAACAGGCAACCCTGCATGCCTGGGAACAGTTAACATACATAGCAACTATTGTACCAACTATAATACATACTTTTTAACATGTTGTGAAGAAAAAGCCGGTGATGATAATGACACCAATAGAAAGTTGCAACGGCTTTGTAAAACTAATGCTATTGATCTATATAGAATGTAACCTGTGTTACATATAGAGAGAGTGCAACAAGATGGAGGGTGAAATACTTTTTAGAGAAGAATAGCTAATCCACTGATTCTTAGTTAAGCTCCAAAGGAACTTAATTATGTAGACCCTTGAGCTCTGTTTAAGTTTTACCCTTATGTGTCTTCCCCCTTCCCCCCCCAAACCACTGTATAGTGAAACTGAGTTTCTGTAGAACAACATAGAGAAAACACTTACCTTGGAAAATTTGTTTTCTCTAGCATCAATGCCTTTTTGCCATAGAGACAAGTATTCAGGAGATTTTACGCATAAGCATTAATTCCTTAGACCTGTCAATGTGAAGAAGTGAGATATTTTGATATCAACTACATTACATAGGCCTTCTCCCTCTGTTCCTTGTTAAAATTCAGTAAATCTTGGTAGCTGATTTAGGTAGAGCTACATTATATTCAGTATCTAATCTAAGAAAACATGATTGATATAAGGAGCCTTTGCACTATTTCTTGAACATTGTTTGATCCCAAGCCTTTATTCAGGCTGTCAGTGTGGAATAAGACTGGAAGAAGTCAAAGAAAAGATGTATTTGAAATAACACATTTCATTTCTGAGATCTTATGACCT